ATCTCCGCCCTTCCGCCTCCTTCGGCTTCCATCATCATCCTTCCGCCTCCGGCGGCTTCCATCGTCATCGTCATCTCCGCCCTTGCGCCGCCTGCTGACAGGGTTGAGCAGGGACTTCAAACAGTTAAAAAGCTTATAATTAGAGAACGCATAGCCATACAAAATCATCCGTGCAAGCTTGAGATGCTTAGACGGCTTCAACGTACACTGTTCATAACTTGCTTGGACTTGCACATGCTCAAATGAGTCAACACCACTGATGCTTCATAAGTTTCAGTCCAACTGTTTGCTTGAAAACACCTAAGCCTCAAGCCCCCGTAACCCGAAGATGAGGTGAAAAGGAAAATCTTCTGAGCCTTCAACCTGCAACACCTACCTCACTCCCCTAAACATTGAAGACAAACCCTTCCTTGACGATATTATACGATAATGAAACCTGCTTTATTCCTAGATCGCCACAAGCTCGCTTCAGAAAGTAGTAGCGCAAGGCAGCCATGCAAAACCATGAAAAACAAGTCCGCTACATTGCGTTCTCAGTTTAGATCTGAGCCTTCTGGACAAATGGATCTGCGAAGGCTTCACAAATCCGGAAAGGGAACCGTGTTTGGCACAGAATGGAGCGGACGGTTTCGGCGCTTACTAGAGCATTGTCCTCACAGCTTACACGTGCAAACACTTCATAATCGGGCATTGTAATTTGTATGTGTGGGATGTTGCCAGGTTGTCTGCGCGATCCCCTAGGGATTTCTCTGAAGATTTGTCAACCCCGTCCGCCTCCGGCTGCCGTCATCGTCATCCCCTTTGGGGTGCCTGGTTGTCGTCGGGTAGGGAGGATGACTAGTGGTGGTTGTCACGAAGGGGCACTGAGGATTCAAGGTGGTGGTGGTGGTCGTGGTGGTCGTAGTCGCTGGCGGGTGCTGGCAGTAGTGCCTGCACACCTGGCAATAGTGATCCAAGTCGGGCTTCAGCCTGTTGTGGAACTTCGCGGCACACCTGTGCTTGCACCACTTGAGCTCTTCACCCTCCAGCTGCATACCATC